TATCTGATCAGATTATTTGATTAAATATCTTAAAATGTCAGACAGAAACAATGTTTATTTACGTAAAAATTCAGGTAATTTAAAGATTAAAATGCAATAAATACAAATAATAAAAAACACTTGTCCAACTAATTTTTTTTCTCCATAAAAAGCAAAACAAAAACCCTATAAAGCTATTACTTACAATCCATAATGCTTATATTGATCATATTAGAATACGGTCAAGTATTTCAAGGGCCACAGCAGGTAGAAAATGCCAGAATAATAAAGCATGTGTGCAAACAAGAAGTCTATTTTAACTCGAGCTGCATCTCATGCATTTTTTTTTTTCTTCATTCGGTGAAGTTACTTACATTGGGTAGAGTATCCAGAAATTTTTACTCTAGAGTAACGACACTTTATAAAAACATTTCTCAAGTAAAACTCCTCCTAAAATGAATGGTAACACTTTATTTGAAGGGGGTTGAATAAGACTGACATGACACTGTCATAAACATGACATAACACCTGTCATGAACATGAATAAGCCTTCATGAATATTTATGACTGTTGTCATAAAACGTCATTTAATACAAAGTTGACATTATTCAAAATGTCTTTGTTATGACAACTTGACATTAACCAAGAAATCATTACTGATATAAATTTGTTATAAAAGTATTACTGATTGCACTTTAAAAATTACGTAACTTTATGTTATTAAAGGTAAAGTTTAAACAGTAATGATTTCCTGGTTAATGTCAAGTTGTCATAACAAAGACATTTTGAATAATGTCTACTACGTATTAAAAGTGTCATAATTTACCGAATGACGCTTTATGACAACAGTCATAAATATTCATGAAGGCTTATTCATGTTCACGACAGGTGTTATGTCATGTTAATGACAGTGTCATGACAGTCTTATTCAACCCCCTTCAAATAAAGTGTTACCAAATTAATTTACCGTGTGGCTCTTCAAGCATCGATCTGAAGTCCACACCTTGTGAACGTCCCCAAACGTTTGAATGGGTTCGGCTTCACAATCTCGTCAAGGATGGCCGTTATCACTGTTACACGTGTGTGTTTTATCCACCGTGGCTTACTTCCTCTCGTGAAAGCGTGTCGATGAGCGTTCGCTGGACAAACAAACAAGTCAGGAGTCTTCCCCACAACTGTGACATTTCTATATTAAAACTTTTTTTTTTTTGATCTTATGTGACATTTTAAGAAAATTAATTTTGAATTAATTAGGTTCAAGCCATATTAGTTAAGTGAACAAATAAACACTGGATATTTGACTCTCTGTGGGGTTTACTTCTAAATGCAATTACTAAAACAAATCAACTTTAATGTTGTTCTAATGTATTAGGCTCTACTTGTATGTTGACTTTACCCAGGTCTGACCTGCTTATGTGTGTTTATGTGTGCAAGTGGAGTAAACTGCAAACAAAAATTAATTTGAAAGATGACATAATTGCTTTGGCTAATGATAATCTCCAATTACTCTGATGGAAAACTAAACACAAGCTTTTTCTTTTTTTTTTTTTGCTTTTTTTAAAAAGACATTTATTGTTATTTTCCCAGTTAATTAAGAGGCATGTACTCATAAGTAGGAACAATGAAATTAATGAGACAAGAAAAATATATATAGTCATTTTTTTTTGTTTGCTTATATAATACACACACTTTAAAATAGAACATAAAAAGATATTAGCAGTCATGATAGGCTACAACCTGAACCATGGAGACAGACGTAGCATGGTATCAATGTATAAAAGATAACCAAAGTCATCAGAACCTTCTTCCGTTTTTCACAGGAGTTTTTATGGCTTCATTTAATCAGTTTATACAGACAAGAGTAAAGCTCGTTGAAAACATGACTTGCAAAAATTTCAGAAAAAAAATTGACAATTTCACACCAACCCTTTCCCCCCTCCCAGTATTATAGTAAAACTCCCTCCCACCCCCCGTTTTACAGAAGTTAGGTGCCATGCTTTGAGCCAGAGTCCAGAATCTCTTTGTTGCACAGAAGCATTCCTCCCAATACAAGAATATTACAAAAAGACACTAAAATGAAGCATTACAAAACACACACACACACACACACACACACACACACACACACACACTCTGCTTGGGGGCGCCAAACAGCTGGGCAGAGGATACAGGCAACGGTAAAACAAGACGGCAGGTCCGATGTGAGTTCCTTACGTGTGACACAAGAACGTTCTGAAACCATTTTCTTACACTAAATGTTAAATCACAATCTATACATAATCAGGACAGAACCTTGGCTTGGACAGCGATCCCTTACAGTAGTACTTTTGAGATCTAACCACAGTGTGATAGTGCAGTAACAAAACCCCTCAATCGCTGGTTTGGAAAGCATACAAATAATAATAATAATAATCATAAGCACACCCAGAAAGACACAACTCTAAAGTTACGATTTCCGAAGAAATCTCACGACGTTTCACCGCACCGAGCTCAACACGAACAGGCTTGTAAACATCACGACCAGAGAGAGTTTGGTGGGATCTGTTCTGCGGAGGGGCTCATCCAGCGACAGTTTCTACAGATCCCGGGCCCGACCCCGGGATTCGGGAAACCCGTGTTCGACATTTTGAAACAAGACCGATTACAGCAAGAGTCTCGAACAAGCTCAGGGTCCTTCAGCAGTTCTGAAAACGGGCACAATAATCCGAGCTTCTGATCAGAGGGGTCCGATTCGCTTTCAGAACAGATCTGGATGGTTTGTCACAGTAAAGCGATCCGCAATGAGCTAACACTGACGAAATACATGAAAACCGAGGCAAAAAAATAAAATAAAACTGCAGTAAGAAAAAAAAGAAAATTGACCTCAGAACAGACTTTTACATTTGAAACCAGATACAGTTAAAAAGGCACATTTCTTGCCTTCGCAGTCTAATATTAAAGACATTTTTTTCTTTTGCAAAATGCAAGAATAATTAGAGATAAGGTTTTAAAGAACTCTACCATCGTCTTCAAAGTCAAAAATGACATCCAATTAGATTATTAGATTTAATCTCCTTTTGGGATCAATAAAGTTTTTTTGAATTGAATTATGATGCCTTCAAGTAGGGCTCGATAACATGATTGAAAAATGTATCACAACATCAACATAAACATTTCATAACAGTCAACATCGATAATCATCGATTCGTTTTTAATTTTAAATATTTAAAATACTGCCAAATTGCTGCCGTGACCTTACATGTTTTATCCACCATCAAGCTTTTGTACTCATTTTCCCCTTTCACTCCGGTTTTTTTTTTCTTCGTTTTGCCACCGTGCTTCATAACTGCTTAGAAACAAAACTTACTCAACGAGGTCGTTGCTAGGTAACCAAACAGTGGGTAAGTTAGTTGATACCACCCATCTAGCTAAGCTAGCCGTCAGCAGTTGAGCGACAAACGCCTTCCCTCTGCCTACGCCTCCCAGAATGCTGTGCGGTTCTGGATTTGAGCTCACTGAAATTACTGATCGTTCCATTTGATGTATTTTCTGTTGATATCGATCACGTGTCCGTTGCGATATATATTGTTATCGATTCATTACCCAGCTCTACCTTCGAGGAATCTGGGGAAAAATCTGCTGACATCGCTCGGCGAAAATGAAACAACTACTCCAAAACTAACATCACAGTCAGAGAATACCTGTCCATCACTACCATCAAAGAGGAATGAAAGGTAAAGCTTGTTAGCCGTAGCACACCATCCCAAACTGAAGTACGGGGAGGACGGTACCATGTGGCTGTTTTAATGCGAACTGGTGTGATTCACAACACAGATGGCCCCCTCCAATTAAAGGGACTACACTGAAACAGCATCTGAAGACATCTGCCAGGAAGTTAAAGCCCAGGCAAAAACAGGTCTCCCATTTGAACAATGACCCCAATTCTACCACCACAAAGCGGTTTATGGAAAGACACCCAGAACGTTTAACCCAATTCAGACAGCTTAAAAAACTATTTTACGAGAGTTTTCTAAAATTCACAAACTGCTCCTCGTTAACCTGTTTGCGTTTAGCAAACACAAAGTATTGCGGTGACCTTAACTGAACTAAAACGGGAAATGTTCTGTGCGACTTACAATCAGAAAAGGCGCAAAGAATAAGGTTGTGTCTTTTGTAAGTACGTGAGCATCTGGTTTCAACTGTATCAGCCTTGGTGCACAGAAAATAAGCACATTCTCTCCACCTACTGTCTAAAACTGGTAAAGCAACAAGTTTCAGAGAAATATAAAAACGCATTAAAAAAATAAAAAATGTATCACAGAAACTGCTGCATCCATTTCGGGATGTGGTGACACTGGCCTGTGAGGTTAGGATAAAGCTAAGATGCTGTAAACACTTCAGGTTCAGATGTCAGAGCTCCTGACATGTCAGCCCTTATTTGGCAGCAGGTGTCTTGGTAAAGGTTGAAGCTGTGAGCTGTGGAAATCAACCACCAGACAGTGAGAGAAAAAAAAAAAAAAAAAAAGCCAGAGGGCACTAGGAAAAACACCTTCCAGGTTTGACTGTCTCATTCTTTTAAAGCAGCATAATTCAACACCATCTAGCCACAAAGACACTTTGAGCTAATCCTTTCAGTCAGTTTTTGATGACTGTGACTTTAGCTGTAACACATATAAACATAAACAACATCTGTCACACCACTGATATCGTTTGGATATGTTGAAGTAAGAAGAAAAGGAAAACAGAATGCTGTTTTGTTGGACAATTAATATCAACAAAGTGCAAATGCGCCATCTTGTGCTCAAATATCTCGCCACATAAAGTCTGGATCCAGTCTTTGATGCCGAGGACAGGCACAGTCCACTGAACCGTGGGGTAGAGTCCTCTGCAACGGTCCAGGTTTTTGGTGGCAGAAACATCCATCTCAAAAAGGTGCAAAATAATCATAATAGTAATCATAGTGATCACTCCAGCTTTATAAATAAAATAAAAAAAGATGAGATGCACAGAATGGGTAAGCAAAGATCCATTTCCATTGTATGGGTTTGTTAAAAAAAAAAAAAAAAAAGCTGAACAATTTTACAGCGCGCTCGGAGCGTCTGAGATCAGGTGCATCGTGGAGGTTTTTGGCACAAAAATAATAATTATATAAAAAATAAAAAAACACAGTCCTGTGGATCTTCTTACACTTGCAAAATCAAAATGAGAGAAATGCGTCCGAGCCGAGTGCGGTGATGGAGAACCCGTGTTTAAGAGATGTCCGTCCAACACTGCATGCAAAAATGCCAAGGCTATTAAAGCAATATAGTGTGGTGCCCTGTGCCAGTGGACTGCGTTTCCAAAAAGCTTCTCTGAATGTGTCCGCGAGGAATCCACTTATGGGGACTGTTGCCATGGTGATGAACAAGACTGGGTTTTTTTTTTGTTGTTTTTTTTTAAGGCATCGCATTAGATGACATGCGTTTCTCCTGTGGTTCAGAAGAAACAGAACAAATTAACAAGCACTGATCTGCATTTGTTACAAAACAAATCAAAACCTTGCATCGTCAAGAAATGTCACAATATATTCAAACTTATCGTTCCAGCCTGAAGACACAATGCTTCAAATAATTAATTAAAAAGCATGTGAACATTAATGTTACCGAGTTGAAATGAAATGGTCTGAGTGGAGCTTGTTTACCTGGTTAGGACTCGCTCTCCATGGTGACGGTTTCACTCTCTGCTGTGAAGTCAAAGTGAAGACACAGTAAGGTACAAAAATGTCTAATTAAATCTAGATTAATGCAATCATTTTCATATAGAGATGCGCCAATCTGACTTTAATGTATGTATAGGTCCCATATTGAAAAATTATTTCTACAATGTGCCCTACCCATAAGGGCAGATCTGTTCTAATTCTATGCTTTGTGCTCTGAGAGATGCGAGGCTTTATTTATTTTACATTATATTTACCATGCCTAATTGCACTTTCTGACCATATGATTTATTGCAGTTTGACCAAGACAGTCAACCGATTGTTTTTGTCAGCTTCGTATTTATTATTTATTTTTACATTGGCTGCTAAACTCCAATGTTTGGAGTAGAAAAACATTATACTCCACACTCCACTGACTGAACAAACTACAGCTGTGTTGTTTTTACACATTTGGCCAGGCTTGTGAAGCTATTGGTGTATTTAAGTGTGCTGTCTTGGCGCGTAGTTACCAAACAATTTTGTAATTTAGTATATTTATGTTTAAAAAGAGAAATATTTTAAGTCAATTCAGCACTGTTTTTTGGTATCAGAAAGGTACTAAACCTCATATTTGGATCGCAAGGGGGGAAAAAAAGGTGGACTGGTGCGTCCCTCATTTACCTGATTTGAGGAAGTTTTCGGCCAGGTGGTCATCGGCGTTGTTGGCCTGCTGCTCGTTGCTCAGAAGGCGGTTCTGTGACTCACTGAGGGGGCTCACAGAGACCTCCGGCACGCTGTAAGATGAAGTTCTGTTAGCCCTGCTTTCCGAACAGAAAGAGACAAAATGAAGTATTTCCTTATGTATATATGAAAAAAAAAATTAATTATCACCATTTATTGGAATCAGGTTGCAGAGTGACAGTCGCCTGCTCTGCATCAGCGTTGACCAATCGGGTGGGAAACGTCAGACCGTCACCCTGACTGGAGAAAACGGGAAAAAAACTTAAGATTAACAGATGAAATTTAAAAGGGAACAAACTTTGCATGAACTGGAGCCTAAATATAAATATGCTAAAAAAAAAAAAAACAAAAAAAAAAAAAAAAAACCCTTAGCTCAAGCTATCTTCTACTTCTCCAAAACTGCAAGTCTGTTACCTGGTGAAGATCGGCAGCAGCCAGTACTGCTTCTGGTCGCCAAAGACCTGAGCGATGTTCTTCCGGAAACCCAGAGAAAAACCGTTCTTATCTGAGCCTGTTCTGAAGACCGGCGCTCTGAATGCCTCTGCAGGGAGGAAGCAACGCAAAGAGAGAGACCATAAAGTCATAAAACACTAGAACAACATGTATAACCTGTCATAAGCAGGGGAGGAAAAACACACACAGGCTGTCTCAGAAGTAAGATCGATATTGTTCGTACGGCTCCTTCTGCCGACAAAAGGAAATAAACTACAGGTTTCTTGAAAGTCTTTATTTCTGTTATGTCCTTTCAAAGTAAGGTGTTTAAAACTGAAGTCAGAGGAAGAAGTCATTTCAAAGGAAGTTGGAAGCATGTCTGCTGATCATTTCAGCAGATAATACAAATGTGAAAACATCACAGCAAGTTGTTCCGTTTTCTCCTTTCATTCTGTCATGGAATATGCCAGACTGAAATTCCTAAATTTTAGATTTAGGAAATCTAAAATTTAAGGTAGGGATCTACATTTTCCCTCCAATTATGCAAATGTGAGCACAAACATAGTCTGCATTATTTTCTTTATTTCTTTTTTTTTTTGTTCTTGAAAAGAATCCCGAAACAATGGAGCGATGGAAATGTTTTTCTTTATGCAATTGAACAAATTTACATCAGTTAGAAACTAAATCTAAATTTCAACTTGATGTGGTTCAATAAATTGGGGAGCAGTAAAAAAAAAAAAATCCGAGAACTAAAAAATTTAGAGGCATTTTTTATTTTTGATCGACTCGGCGCTCAAAACCCACGGTGATTATTGAATGGGACAAGTAAATGTAAGAATGCTTTCATATTTCATATTTTTATAAAGCGGAATTTTAAAAAGTCTGGAATCTTTTTCTTTTTTTTTAAACTGCAACAGTTCCCTGCAAGCCTGATTAAAATGTCAACAAACCATTAAGTCCATTAAAAAAAAGGAAACTAATACTGCATTTTTGCAAATTTGGTTAATAAGTATCTTTAAAAAAAAAAAAAAAAGCAAATAAAAAAAAAATGTTGCATGCATGTGTGTGCATTACCTATTGTGGATCTGTTCTTCCCTACGAGCCACAGATGGTAGCTGAAGAGGGAGAGAATACTGATGCAGAACATGGCCGCCACAAAAAACAGAAACAGGACGTGGAATTTGGCAGAGTTATTCAGCTCGTTCTGTGGGAAGAGACGAGAGGAGACGGAAATGGGGATCAATAACAAATTTACAGGCATGGTAATTTCAGAAAGGGGGAAGGGATAAGGCAATGCAGGCAACAGTGGGATGAGAACCGCGTCACTGCATGCGTATCACGAAGGCATGCAAAAACTCGTGGCAGCAGAGGACGGCTGGGTTACCTTCGGGCAGTTCTCTGCCGATTTCCTACGACAAAGCTTTAGCATAAACAGAAACAAGACCAGTTAGGAACAACAGGAGAAAACAAGGGGAAAGCAAGGAGAAGTCTGACAAAAAAAGAGAATAAACTGGCGAGAATGGAGAGAGAGAGAGAGAAGAGATGAAAGGAAATGCAAGTGCAGCGGCTGCAAGAATGTTTGCTGCTGACTAGTGGTGTGACTGATGGTTCTGAACGGGGAGAGAGAAAAATCGGAGAACAATGACCCGTTTGTGTGCCACGACTTCAGACGAGGAAACTAGGAGAGAACCGGGGTCAAGGGTGAGAGAGGACAGAGGAGGGAAAATAAAAAATAAAAAAAAGAGATAGCACAGGAGAAGTCAGCGCCATGCACAGATATTTGAGTGGACCTGAACAGATCCGCATCTGAACTCTCTCACACACACACACGCACACTCAAAACACACACGGAGCCGGCGCCTCAGCATCAAGTACTCACGGTCCAGAACTTTATGAAATACTGTAGAACCGTGGCGGCAATGAAGAGACAGTACACCAGTGAGTAGGCCAGGAAGAGGATGAAGAACTTGTAGTTGGAGAAGCCAACGCAGTTGTTCACCCTGAACACACACACACACACACACACAAAATTAATTAAAAGTCAACTTATTATACAAAAATTCAACGTTACAAAAAGGAAGTGGGAAATTCTGGAGTATTACAGGCAGTAAAGGGCTCCACAAGAAAAATAGACCCTATTAAGCATTTTCTTATTTATAGGAGGGAAAAACATTCAATCAGCAAAGATAAATTGACCAATAATTGACAAAGAGAGAGAGAAAAAAAAAATCAATGGCATTCTTAAGGTCTGGCCACGAGTTTTCCAATCGTTGACTAGAAGTCAAGCAAATGTGTCTTACATGTGAAAATACTCAACCTTAATGCTTTATCAACGTTTTTATACTTGGTACTTTTCTAAGGGACTGTAAGAGCAGGAAGCAGATCAGATTTACCAAGGACAGTGGTGATCCATCTTCAGCACACACCTTTACAGCAAAACAAAAAAACAAATGATCAAATTACACAGGGACACAAAAAAACAAAACAACAACAAAAAAGAAATAGTTGATAGGAGAGCAGAATTTCCTGAAGGTAGTCCGGTTCTCTTACATGTCGCATGCGGAGCAGTGGTGACACCGGTCCGGCTTGATGACTTGACAGCGGTCGCAGTAGCGGATCGCTGCAACGCGATTTGCACAATCTTTCAGTCATGACTGGGCGACGACGAACGACAGTATATCCCCCCCGTTACCAGCCGGGTGACGCGGCCTTACCTCCGGCGCCCGTGCGAGTGTACAGAGGCAGGGTGGAGGCGGCTCTCCACAGGATCTCCTGCTGGGACTCGGGCCTCTCCTCCTTCTCGTAGCGCTCCTTCTCGGCTTTTGGCAGGCAAAACTGGAACGAAGCGGACACAACGCTTTTATCACCCGGCTGGTTTCACCGCGGCAGGGGATCAGAAGAAGCATGCAGACAGAAAGGGAGCGCTATGGGATCTTGTACCTCTTTGGAAGGGTTGGCAGGCTTGGTGAAGATGGTCTTCCAATAAGACCACACAAACATGACGAAAGAGACGTGGAAGAAGATCAGGTAGACAACTGGAGGCAGGGAAGGCGGGGAGAAGGGGGGGGGGAGATTGGATCAGCGGGAGAGTAACACAAACCATCCAGTAAGTGTGCAGACGCAGAACATGAGTTACGGTAATACTGCGGCTACTCAGACTACAGGGCCTGATGAGGATACAGTTATATAATTAATGGGAGAAGACTGCAAATAGGTAGTGCTGATTAAGGAGGAGCTGCCGGGCGACAAGCAAGCAAACTTTTCTGTGTCAGCAAGTCTACAGAGTGCATTACAGCAGACCTCAGGGAGACTAATCCGAACAGGCTCAGCTCAGTGAAATAGCATTCGCAACAAATTAAACACTTTTCATCTTTTGCGGTACTTACTCCGCTCTCCCATCATGGTAATGGTGTCTGTAAGAGATACAGAGAAAACACAAATGTTAGAAAAATAATCTAAATCAAACAGAAATAAAGAGTTTCTTTTTGAACAATAACATAAAAAAAACAACAACTGGATATTAAAAAGATATTCAAATGGCATTTCAGGATGGGGGGCGGGGGGGTCTGGAAACTCACTCAACCATGGTAGTATGCAGGCTGGGACAAGAAAACCCAAGTGGAAATTTACTGAAATTTCCAGTGATGCTCTTTGACCTGGACTCCCAGAAATGTTTAAGTTCTTTTTAAGAAACAAAGTTTTTTTTTTAATCTCTATTCACTGTACTACAAAGAATTAAACCCCAAAAAGTTATTCTTAGGCCAGAGTCATGATCTTAAAAAAGGAAAACTTTATCCAATTAGTAGCTAATTTAATATTTTATAAATTTAATGCAGAGATACACTTTTTTCTTGGCCAAGACATATTTCCTTTGAAGTCAAACTTACAGATTCTGATTTGGTTTCTACAACACATCTCCATTTATACATCAAAGCACACGCATAAATGTGCTTTGATGTATAAAGCACATTTATACATTTTTTTCTTAATTTACACCCCCAAAACCAGTGTTATTTAAATTGCTTTTTTGCATTCATGATCAACTTAAAAATGAGCTCAGTTGCCTTGCAACAAGAAGGTTCTGGATTTGAATCCTGTTGGGGTATTTTTGCGTTGAATTTGCTTGTTCATCCTGTGTGGGTTAACTCTGGGCACTCCAGCTGCCTCCCACAGCACCAAAACATGACTTATTAGGTTACTTGGTTCTTCTAAATTGTGTGTGAATGTGTGTGCATGACTGTTTATCCTGTGTGTCTGTGAGATAGGCTGCCTCTCATCCAATGACTACTGGAGGTAGGCATCAGGCTGAGACACCCCGGCAACCCTGCTAAGCAAGTATAGACAGTTGATGGATGGATGGATCACCAACTGAGGTAAAGTTGGCTGATTTCAATAATTGTGAGGTTGTTGGTGCATCTCTACTCTGCAGGGTGGGGATCACATGGCCTCATTTCAGAGTACAAACATAGCTTCAGTGGGGCTTTCTAGAATTAGCTCATATAAGTTTTACATAAAATTAAGAGTAACACAAAGTAAAATATTCAGCATAAAAGTTAACTCCTGATTAAATAAGAGGTACAAACAGAAAGAAAAAAAAACATCACAGGAAGCAGTCAGACTTAAATTTTACTATTGCTTCTTTCAATTTAAAAGAACAAGAAAAACGCAATCTGCGCTCAAACCGAGCAGGAAACAAGAAATACAAAACCGGCAGTCTTAAAGTGCTGCAGGAGAAACCTTATGCGTTCGCCGAAACATATCCCTCCTAATACAGTACAACCCGACGAGATGTCAGACAAACAGACACGTATCTGTGTGTTCGGAGCCGGCTGGCAGGCAGCACCATTGTTGAGCTGCAGCCCATTCACTTCCTGATGGCAGCAGCAGCAGCCACAGCAGCAGCAGCAGCAGCTGTGTGTTTGTGAGTGGACACTACAATGAAAACATGTCCGTCTGAAAAGCCTTTAGGGACGCGACAGAAAGCAGCGACACGTCTACTTACACAAACAAAGCTCCACCACGTAAGCGTAGTAGGACCAGCAGACGACAAGGGCGATAAAAATCACAGGGATCCAGGCTAAACCCCGTTGACAGCATCTCAGTACGTGTGTGGGCGCCATCTTTCTCCCTCTCCCTGTTCCACTGGGAGCAGGGCGTGTTCGACGTGAAGACGTCACCGGCACGTAGCCACACAGGAAGTAGTCAAACTTAAATAAACATGATTATTTATGTTTTAAAATCTTTTTGGACCACATAGGAAGGGCATAAATATCAGCTCGGAAAAGAAAATCAAACTTCTCTCACTCAACATTTCAGCTTTGACCTCAAAATTGCAGCTCTTTGTACCCCTTATGATGTTTGCATGACTTCAATAGTAATACCTCTGTTAATCACAACCTAAAGATGATAGCATTTAGATATTTGACTAAGTCAAAAGGTGTGCGCACATTTTCAACCTAGAAAATTGCCCTAGAAAATGTTTAATGTTTAAAATATTGTGCACTGTAAAGAGACAGGAAGGTCACCTATAACATAACAGAAAAATAGTTTAGTTTAAACATTCTATTTAACTATAAATATGCTGGTTTTATATTATAGTATGGTGAAGTCATATGATTTGTGGGCAGTCATCCACAAATCATATTTTGAAAACATTTATTTGATGCTTTTCTTGATAAATGAATAAAATTTAACTGTGAATATCCTTTAAATTTCAAAAGTTATGGAAATTATATGCCATGAACTTCTGGACCTTACTGAGGACTGGGCAGCAGCCTCCAGCACTGTTTTCCTTAACTACGCCTCTGCATTATATGCCACGGCCCACGAAGGCATCCTTTTTATGTACTTTGATCCTGTACATCGACACGTTCATGTGGAATTCTTATGGTGTGTTTGACCTGTTCGCTTTCTGCTCTTAATTCCCCTGCGCTCGGTTTCCAAACCACTCTGGAAAGAAAAGTGAAAGTAAAGCGTCGTGAGACCGAAAGCATAGAAGGAAAAGGAAATGTCTTCCGTGAAGATGGAAGTGGATCGGTACCTGTCGCGGATCGGGTTTGAAGGCCCTTCAGGTGTGCCCAGCCTGGAGCTGCTTCGCTCGGTTCACACCTGTCACCTGCTGTCGGTGCCATTTGAAGACCTGACGGTGCACAGCGGTGGACAGGTCAAGCTGGACCTTCCGGCCCTCTACGACAAGGTTGTGAACCAGCGCAGAGGTGGCTTTTGCTTTGAGAATAACTCGTTGTTCTACTGGCTGCTGACCCAGTTGGGCTTCCAGGCCACTATGCTCTCGGGTCAGGTGAAGAACTCGATAACTAGTCGCTACGGGCCCCCGTTTGACCATTTGATCGTAATGGTCAACCTCGAAGGGAAACGGTGGCTGTGTGACGTCGGTTTCGGCGCTGCTGGTTTTAGTGTCCCGCTTTCGTTGGATACTTATGGTCCTCAGGTGCAGGGCCACAGAGTTTACCGTGTCAGAAGGATAGACGACGTGCACTTTCTGGAGTGGCAAAAGGAGGAAAACAGAGGCGAAGATGGGGACTGGACGGAGATCTACAAGTTCACCCTGGAACCTCGGCGTCTGGAGGACTTCGCCGAGATGTGCCAGTATCACCAGAGCTCTCCCAGCTCCATCTTCTTCTGCAAGTCCCTCTGCACCGTGTTAAGACCCGGCGGGAGGGTGTCTTACATTGGCCGCAGGCTGATTAGCACCACATTCCCATCTGAAGCAACGGGAGGTGGGCTAGAAACCACAACCAGGGAACTTGAAGATGAAGAAATTCCGGCTGTTCTAGCAGAAAACTTTGGAATTGTGCTTCAGTCTCCACTTATTCCAAAAGATGACACAATTACTCCACCCCCAGTTGTATACTGATTTATGGATGCCATAACTTTTAAGGCAAAAATATACAACTACTATTTCTGACGCACCGATGAGGTGCTTCCGGTTGCTAACATTTTTTGGGGGTGGGTGGGGGGGAGGGGGGTTATAATTGTTTTTTAATTAAAAAGACTAAATAGCAAAAAAAAAAAAATAAAAAATATATATATATATATATATATATATATATATATAAGTAAAACGTACGCAAGGGTAATTGACCTATTAAGTTATTTTTAATTGACCATCCCTACTTAATGTGTTTTATTATCCTTAAAAAACCTGCAAGGTAGTCCGTTTATGGAACAAAATGCAAGTTATTTTTATGCATCTGATGAATTGCAATTGTAAACCTAATCTAATTGTATAAACTAAATTAAGATTTTGAGTATTTGACCTGACAATGACCAAATAACAGTGAAAAATTGCAGAAATTGTGATTACAACTATTCTTAAGAAATGAGCTTGAACTTTTGGTTAATAATTTCAACTCAATAAGGTTTTACATTTTTGTAATTTAATGCTTAGAATAAAATTATGCATCCTAATTTTACCAGATGCCTTTGCTGAACAATCACACACACACACACAGATTTTGCAGAACACATACAACAGAAAATGTAAACTGTCACTTTGATTTAATAAATTATACAATACAGGTTTTAAGATGTACAATGGTCATTGCATTAATCCACAATTGTCCTTTTTCATAAGACAAAGTCTGCTTTCAAAGTATTTACACATGTACAATTTATGAGGCAGCGCTTCACAAAAAGCAAGGCATGAATGACAATACACATGATGTTTAGACCCTCTACAGTTACCCTGTGCAGAGGGGGGTCTACAGTGGGTAACTGGTGCAAAAACGTGGCACACATTGGACACAAAGATGTTACTCTGCGATGGGGTTGGAGGATGGGATAGAGTTTGCTCTGCTAGATTTCCGTTCGTAGTTGACAAGCCTCTGACCAACCAGGTACCTGCATGGGGAGAATACATGTCAGAATTGACGTTTTTTTTTTTTCTACAACTAATTAGATTTGCCGAAGAATAAAATGCATTTTGTGTTTATACCAAGACATAAAATACTAAATGTTTCAATAGAGACACAATTAAAATAAGAGTCTTAGAATTTATTACACAAATAAAGATTTTAGAATTGTTTAAAAAAAAAAAAAAAAAAGATGGACGACAGAAACATTCATACTTGTCATTTTTGATGTGCTCATAAAGTCGTTTAAACTGTCTGATCTGGAAAGACAGGATGCCGATGAGCGACACCACCATCAGGAGGAATGGATAGATTCTCCTCTGCATCAGGATCTCCATTTCAGGGGTGACACCTGGAAACAAAATACAGGTATATGGTCTTCACTTTTCTCCTAGTCCTGACTAAAAGTGATCACCAGAATGAGCCTAGAAGCGTGTGGATGACCACAAAAAGTAGTTGGATGCAAGACGGAATTTATTCATGGACATTTAGTGAAACACTGTAGGGGAGGTGAATGGGAGGGGCAGGGCTCCATGTACATATGCGAGTCTGTATATGTTGTGGAGGAGAGAAAGTTTCATATAAATTTAAAGTGGTCTAAGGTGATAAAAATAAAAAAGCATTTCTCATACTGACCGACAGCAGGAACCACTCCGGCAGCAATCACATACGGCACACACAGGGACAACAGCAGGACTGAGATAACAGGAGCTGCCAGCTTGCGGATTATGAACTGGAGATCAATGTTACGAATTCCATTTGCATAAACCTGTGAAGAGGCGGAGAGTTAACAGGATTCGGTTCAAAGCTCCAATGAGCAACAGAAGTCATCTCAGGGGCTTTACAGAAAGACAAAATGAACAGGCAATTTCATCTCAGTCAGCAGATACTTTTTTCAAATTGGGAAATTTAAAAAGGATCATATTTATATTTCATATCCATTAATACTCTACCTGCTCAATTACAGCCTTAAGCCACCACTGTGGGCCCATGAGGGTGATGGCAGCGATGATTTTGGCATGGAGAACTCCAAGAGCCCAGTCCTGAAAATAACATCAAGACATATAAGAGCATATAAGAACTTCTTAATGCACGTTTAAGTGAAAAATTGTGGGAGACGACAATCTTGTATGCTTATATAATCTTACCTGCCAAGGATAGAACAGAGGTGTTTGGTCTAGAGGTACTCTAAGTGGGGCCACAATCACCAGTTCAAACAGCAGCCCCAATAACAGTGGGATGACTCCAGCAACCAGCAAAGCCACAACCAGGGTCTTCAGGATCTATATGAGTAATATTATAAACAAAGACAAGGGTGAGCCCCACTGGTCTTTGACAGAAAAATTATATCACTAGCTAAAAATGATAGAGAAGCAACAATCTCACTTTTCTTCAAGAAGTTAATGACATTTTGTGCAAATTTTCCAAATGATTTAGATACACAATCCTTCCTCCAAGTTTACAGGAAGTTCAGTTTCATTCAGACTCCATACATAATTGCTCTAATACAGCTAGGAAACATTTTATCATTATGTGTATAGAAATGTCTTTTTAAATACGTTTGCAGCACTAGATGTTATAGCACTGATGTACAAATTTTTAGCTACATGGGCCAAATATGTCAACGCAAAATAAATTTTTTCTTTAAATTGTAAACCACAACAATTATATATTGATTTTTTTTTATTCTAGCTGCTCAACAATGAACTAAATGCTCATTTTCTATAAAGCAATCAAAGTAGTCTGGTTTTTGTAGAAAATGCAAACCTAAAAAAAAAAAAGGCATACAAGATGAAGTACGCTTAGAACACCTCAGATTTAGACAGATTGTTAAACTACACAGATCAGTTTGTTTTCCATTTCTTAGCAAACCAATATTTTTTTACCTTTTCTAACTTATAAACAGGGTTTGTGAAAGCTTATTCAAATGCCAACCATCACCTCTGGCTGAAATGCATAATGTGTTTTGAGCAGCTAAGGACTTAAAAAAATCACAGCATTTTGAAAAGCCAATAATTCCCACTGCTCCCGTTTGCTTATTAAAGCTTAAGATTCCTCCGCTCACCATGAGCGTCCATTCCTGGACTTTGTGCATGATTACGATGCGTCCCTGTGGCATCCACGCCAACAACACAGTGACTCCACGAACCGAGAGCCAGCAGACGTACAGACCACACGCTGCTGTGTACAGCTCATGGATTTTAGAGTTTCCAGTCCAGAAGGACATGAGCCAGCGGCCTGTAAATACTGAAACACACACACGGCAGAGCAATTATTCACATCACAGCCAAATTTGTAGTGGTAACAGAGGAGAAAAAAAAAAGAAAAAAAAAAAGACTCTCCTCACTTATAGTTCAGGAAAGACTTATCATTATGCGTCTATATGAAAGAGTCAGAGCTTTCATTAAGGTTTGGGTGGAGTTCAACAAAGTAGTAATTTATCTGTTAGTTTAGTTGTTTGACATCACTCCTTACCTGGTAGAGTTAAGCACACCAGACTGGCCAATAGGAGAGTGATGCACATGAAAATAATCAGGAGCACAATCTAGGGGACAGAGGACAAGCCACGTAAGTAACTTTCATACTTTACAACAATTGCATAGAAGTCTTCAGAAACATCTGATTTCTTTACATTTTAAAGTTGGAGGAAGAGAAAAGCATGATATGCCATAGTATCCTGAGGATGTACAAATTGCCCCTAATTTGTGTGTGCTGCAAAAACACAAAATCTTACCAAGTATTATATCTAGTTTCTAATGCAAATATTATAGGAGATATAGGAGCTTGTTCTAAAAAAAAAAAAAAAGAAAAAGTTCTAGTTCAGATTATTTCACTTATGACAAGATATTTTCCCATGTTATATAGTTTAATCCATTTCAGTGGATTAAACTAGTACTTTTTCATCAATATTAAATTATTGACTTGAAACAAACTCGTATGTCTATCTGAAAGTTATTTGCATGCGAGTTTTTTACATTTCAAGTGTGCTAAGATATTTGCAGTATAAACTAGGCAAAAATACTTTGTAAGGTTTTGTGTTTTTCAGAGTGGTAACACATTTCAAATAGGATTGACTGTGCTGGAGAGCATTGTAAAGCATGTTAAAAAAAAAAAAATCACAGGACTGTCTCACTCTGAATGGGAAGCGCAGGGGTCGGTGGTACGGCTGGAAACCCACTGGCCCCCCCTGCTGCAGGATGGCCTGATGTGCTGCATGCAGTCCTTCCCCAACAGCTGGGGCCGGGTTGTTATTGTTGTTATGAGGCCCGTGGGGAGGGTTGTTATTGTTGTTGTTGTTTGCAGGCTGGTTGGCATCATTGTCCTCCTGCTCACCGAGGAGGTAGGAGTGGAGGTCTCTGCAGACAGAAAGGAAAGGCTGATCAGTGGCAGGAATAAAAGGACGCCACATGTTGCTAAATGTCGACATACCCTGAAGTAAAAAAAAAAAAAAAGATTTATTTGAACACAAAAAGTAGTGTGTAATTGTGAACTGGAGGGAAACAGATGTGGTTTTCAATTTTTTTGTAAGATCTGGTGTATATTTGTATTCCTCTAATGTGTGTTAATGGCAGGAAATAATGTGTGTCAAAAGCTGATAAGGACTTTCCTCACACAAGTCAGCCAACTGTGACTACCTCGTTCAGAAAACACTTGGTATGGGCCAAAAGATGTCTAGGTCACAAACTGAATTGTTTTGTGAAAGGGGCTCTTGGTTGCCCATGGAGACAAGCAATCCAAGGTGATGTGCAAAGTTTAACCACAAGTTGGACTTTGCATGTAAATGTAAATCTTGGTCTCTTTTGCCAAACTATTGATGAGAATTATTATGACTTTGTGATACTTCAACCTGAGCTGTGAATCTCTACAGCTCCTCCAGGTCTACCATTTGCCTATCAGCTGCTTCTCTGATGATACTCTTGTGGCCTAGCTTGTCAGTTCAGGTGGATAACCATGTTTTGATTGGTCTGTAGCTGTTCCAGAGTCTCTTCATTTTCTGGTGATGAACTGGACAGATCTCGACCAGATGTTTAAATCACCACCTAATTTTGCTT